TCTCTCCACTGACGGCTCCAAATCTCCTATTTCTGAAGTGGAGCAGGGTCAGCATTACTCAGATCTAGATCCCTGACTTCCTCTGTGCCTGCAATTCTGCCATCAGAGATACATCCATCTGCCTGTGACCCTATCTCCTCAAGCAATTAAGCTCATCAATCACTCATACACATTCACGGGGTTGACTTTCCATGGCTGTTTTCCAGAAGATCTGATCTGTGAGTAAACATCCCACTGGCTGAAGCTTTATCAAAGCACAGATTAGGAGAGGGTTGCTCTTTGTACCTCGGGCTCCTGAGGGGCCCCGGCACTCACAAAGCCTGAGGCCACCCAGGGAGTGGATGTGGAAGAAGAAAGGCTGCCCTTTTCCTGATCAGCCCTCCCACCCACTCTACTTGCCTCCCGCAATCTTGGTTGTCTGGGAGAAGGTCTGCATGTGGGTGGTGGAGCTGGAGAACTCCATGGACACGTGCTCCTGCAGCATCTGCTGGTGGTGAATGGTCGTCATGGTGACAGCAGGCGTGGGCACTCACCTGGGAGGACCGGGGAGAGGGTGAGGCCATGAAGGACGAGGAAGGGAATAGGAGAGAGATCCAGAGAGGTTATTCTTTGCGCGTGCGTGTGTGTGTGCGTGCGTGTGCGTGCGTGTGCGTGTGTGTGCGCGTGTGAAGGGACAGGGCAGGTGGACACAAGGGGAGATGGCTGTGCACAGGGGAGGGGGAGGGGAAGTAGGGCAGCAAGCCTCTTCTTTCTGGCCTCTCTTTTCCTCCCTTCATGTCTCACCTTCCCAGGATGGTCACAAGGACCCGTGGGCCTGACCTCCCCACCAAGTAATCCCAAACCATTCCAAGTCTCAGGGGGTGAGAATGTAGGGCTTAGATTTACCCAGGGAACCAAGTTAGGCCCAGGGGGAGCTGAGGATACATATTGATAGCTACATGGAACAAGGGAGGTGGTGCTGGATATTTCAGCAGGAGGGAATGAAGTCAGACCTAAGAAGGAACTTCCTGACTAAGCCGTACTTCAGTGGGCCTTAAAAGGAAGCTGGGGATTTTCCTCCTGAGCCCTGGGGACCCCTGGCATTGGTGGAATGCTGAGGCAGATGATAGCTTGTGTCTACAGCTCTGCTTTCATTTGTGACTGGATAAAGACAGAGGTTGAATTGTCATGTCCTATACTTCTTAAAAAAAAATCGGTAATTCAATCGCATAGTTAACAAAACAATATAAACATCTATATGAAGAGGCTCCCTCCCACTCCTGAGCCCCCGAGTCCTAATCCTCCCCCAACATGTAAGCACTGTGGCCTCTCAGCTCCTTCTGGAGCGCCTTCATGCAAATACGAGCATGTTTTTACCCTCATCCCCTTTTTGCACTTCAGGGAGCCCTCCTATATACACTCTTCAGCCCTTTCTTTTTCACTTAATACATCTTGGAGATCTCTCCAAACCAGTTCATAAACACGGTCCTCATTCTTGCTAACAGCTACACAGTGTTTCAACGGAGGGATGTTGCATTTTTATTTAACCAGCATGGCAGTTTTTCCATATGAAAGAAACTGATGTCTGAGAGAAATGACATGTTCGAGGTCACTCAGACTAGAATCCCCGCCTCTTGACTCCCAGTCCACTGCCCTCCCAAGGGACCCAAAAGCCTGGCTCTAAGCCAGTTCGAGGCTAAGCTTCACCTCCCTGCTATGACAGATCTCTGCCTGGCCTGCTTCCACCTCTGAGCTCTAAAACTGTCACCACCTAGACCCCAGGAGCTGATCTTTACTCCTCACCTGCTTGTACCCAAACTCTGTCCCACATTTTTCCTTAAGCTCTTCTTCCCAGCTTATTTCTTCACTCAGGCAAAAGACCCGAAGGGCCTAACATCCCGTGATGGAAACCGAAACTACCCCTCAAGCAGTAACCCTTGCCTGGACGGGGGCTCCGTCAGCTCAGGCGGCCCAGAACCGTCTGAGCCCAACCCCGACTCACGCCTGTGCAGATGGACCGCGGAGTGACCGACGGTTACCTTTACCTCAATAGAACACTAAAATCTCCACCCAAGACGGAGCACGAGCCTGCTTTCCATGACATACAACGTACGTATGAGCATGTTTCCGTAAGGACCTTACGCCCGCCCTCGACACAGGGCAAGGCTCCCCTATCTGAATATTCATCCTAGCCCCCAGTAAAAGAAACCCACTCGCCCTTGCTCGGTCACAGCTTTGGAAGTTATTCCCCACGATCTCCTTATTTGCTGCAAATGAAGTTTCCTTTGTGCAACAACTCACCTGGTGTAGTTTCTACCTATGACTCACCGAGGAGCAAACTCACGTCAGTTGGGTTACTCTGGCCGTCCTGCTCTGGGCTCCGAAGGTAGCAGGCTCTGCCCCTTTCTTAAGGAAAGAGGGGAGACTCACCTTTGTGTGACCAGTTCCTCCTAACCCTTGAATGCCGTGCCCACAGCTTTGGGGGTGCAGCTATGCCTGGGCTATCAGCGGGCTGGTCTCCTTCTTCTTTTGCCCTAACAGTGGAGCCACCAGGAGTCACGGGTTCCTTAAATGTCTGGCCCCCTGGGGGCGATCCCTTACTTAGGCTCCACAGCTGCCCCAGCTAGACTGGCACATTGCTTTGGGGGGAGGAGGGTGGGGGAAGGGAGGCTAGAGTCAAGGCTGGAGGAAATGCTGGGGACCAGGCGTGTGGGCAGGAGTCTGAGGGCGGTGGTCCAGGTTACTTTTCCTGTTCCCTCTTGGCAGAGGTTTTGGTTCTCACTGCTGGTGCCTAGGGGCTCAGGGCAGTGCGTGTGCGTGTGTGTGTGTGTGTGTGTGTGTGTGTGTGCGCGCGCACGCAGGCACATACACACGCATATGTACATGTGCTCACAGGCCAGTGGGCCGGGGGGGGGGGGGTCAAGGAAGTTGGCCATTTTGCAGAAATCCAGGGGCACCATTCTCGTACTCTGTGTCTGGTGCCCGCACAGCTTGAGTGGCCTCCCAGGGCCACCCTGGGGAGAAGATAGAACTGTTAGCTCCCCTCCTCCTTCCCACTCCTACAGCTCAAACCTCATCTGGGTAGAGGGTAGGAGGCCCACCCTCCATGGCTGGAGAGCATCCCCCCCCCCGCCGGCCCCCAGCCGCCCCGGGACCTGCATCCCAGCTGTTCAAGCTTCTCCCTGTTGTTTCCTCATTGTCTGTAGCATAGCTGTGTGTGTGGACCCTCAACCAACCCACACAAAATGCTGGTACCTCCTAACGACCCACTGGTTGGTCAGCAGCCCTGCCCTGGACCCTCCCATGCCCTGGAGTGACCCCACCTGCCAACAACAGCATCACAGCTACTTTTGCTGCCTCCCTGAGGGCAGGGGTAAGAATAGAGCAGGAGTGTCTGGTATGGCTCAGGACTTGAGCCCTGGGGCAGAGTCTCTGGGCCCCTAGGGAGAGTCTCTCAGCCCAGGCCTTACAAGGGAAATTTCCAGGTTGCAGCTGCTGTTGGGACCTGTAAGGCTCACGGGGATAAGTGGGTGGGCCAACAGGGAGGGGCCTGGGTGTGACCTGAAAGTCTCCCTGCCCTAGCTTTGGCCTCTCTGGCCCATCTGTCAGAGCTGGTGGCCTGCTAGACACTTTGCCTTCTCTGGAAGCCTCCCACACCTGTCCTTGAGGCTCCTCATGGTCCAGGGCTCCCAGATGGGTTGGGGAGGGGGATGGTGCAGGAGACTCCTGCCAAAATCAAATGGATTTGGTCTGAATTTCCAATCTGCACAGGGGGCACCAGGGAGCTTGAAAGAGAGAGAGAGAGAGAGAGAGAGAGAGAGAGAGAGAGAGAGAGAGTGTGTGTGTGTGTGTGTGTGTGTACAGGGTGCACAAAAACCAGGTTACAGGGAGGCAGGGAGGGGAGAGGCAATCACACAGACCCAGAGGGCTAGTTTTGCTCAAAATGCTCCGTTTATTGCTCTATTCAATGACCACGAGCAAATTATAAAAAGACACCAAATGTCTCTGTCTGCCGTGGAATAAATATTTAAAGTCAGCAATAAAAACACGTGGCTCCAAGATAACACATGTTGCCAAGAGTCATGCATGCCCTGCTGCCGGGCTCTCAACACACGCATGGACACAGGAACACGCAGGGCGACACGCAGCGAGACTGCTGGGAAGGCTTTCCCACAGGGACACAGAGAAACGTTTCACACAGATCTGGGGCCCAAACCCCACCCCACCCTCAGAGCTCCCCCTTCTCCCACCCCCACTGGGGCCCAGGTCCTCTGGGTTCACAGCCCCCCTCTGTCCCCTTCCCCCCCCAATGCCTCACAGGCTGGTCACTGCCTCCTGAGGGCATCTGACACCACGAGGTCACCTTTGCTGTGACACTCCTGCCCCCCCCCGACCCCAACCCAGAGACCTCTCCCCGAGCTGAGATCTCTCCACCAACTCCTCAGGAGCTCCCCATCCCAGTCCCCAGAACTGGGGCAAAATGCAATCTGCTGCGTGGGAAGTGGGGGTGGGGGCCCGAGGCAGGCACCTCTGCCTGGGCTGCTTTGGGGCTGGAGCTCATTACCCCTTTCCCGGGCTGAGGAGACACAGTGTCCGGTACAGATAGCAGAGATGGATGGACAGACAGAAACGCTGCGGCAAAGACGCTCGGAGTGCGGCACAGAAACGTTTTGGATCAGGTAGCAATGGAACCATCGTTAAAAACTGAGGCCCCAGGTCTGCATGGCATGGGTCAGGCCCCGGGGCCCCAGGCCTGGCCTGGCACATCCGTCCCCCACCCCGCCCCCCACCCCAGTATGTACAGTAGGAAGAGCTATGTTGGGGGGGGGGGGCAGGGGCCAGGCCAAGGCTGACGCAGGAGGGAAGGAGGGAGGGAAGGAGCAGACTGAAGAGAAGGAAGCAGGAGGAGCGGTTGGGGGGCGGGGGCAGGCCAGGACCGAGGCAGGGCTCTGCATGTGGCCAGGGTGGGGGCCCAGACTCAGGCTGGGTGGTGCCCAGAGGACCTCAGGGCAGGAGTGCGGTCACTCTGGGGGCTGGCGGGACAGCTGCTTCTCGTAGAGGCTCATGACATGGTGCACAAACTGGTATTGCTCGCATGTCTGGATCATGCCGCCCCTGGGGGCAGAGACACACGGTGGACATGGGGCTGTGGACGGATGGGCTGTGGGGGGGGGCGCCCCCAAACCAATGACACCCAGTCATTCGCGAGGGGCCTTGTCTTGCCCTCCCCGCCAGCCACGCTCCTCTGCTCCTTCCTGCCCCTCCCAGCTCCGCGCGGACAGGAGCAGGGACAGGGATGACAGGTCCCTCCACCCCTAGCGCCCCCCTTCTGCTCACCAGCCATGCTGCTTTTCCCTCCCCGTCAGGCCCCCAGCTGTCCGGATCCAGCTCTCCCCACGCGTCCTCTCCACGCCCTCTCTGCCAGGCTGTCCAGCGGCAGCGTGTGCCCCGGCCCCTCAGCCCTGCCGCCCCCGGACTCCGGGGCCCCGGGCGCCCGCGCTGACCTGTCCTGACGGAGCTGGCATGTGGTCTTAAGGATGTCCACCACGCCCTCCTGGCGCAGCTGCTGGCAGCAGATGCTGGTGGCGATGAAGCAGCCCGTCCTGCCGATCCCTGCACTGAGAGCGGAAGGGACACGACACTGGGGCAAGGAACGGGGGCGGCTCCGGGAGGAGGGAGGCCGCCCTGCCCCAGGGGGCCGGCTGCGAGGACCCACCTGCAGTGCACGATGATCGGGGCACAGCGGGGCCCCTCCTGCTGGGCTGCCTCCTCCACCTCCCGCACTAGGTGCAGGAGTGGGGGCGCCCGGTCGGGGGTCTTCTGGTCAGGCCAGGACGTGAACCAGTAATGCTTCAGGCCTCGCTCTTCGGTCCCGCTCTGTCCAGGAGACAGAGACCCAGCCCAGGTACATGTGAACGCTCAGAACCCACAAACCAGCCCAGAGATGGGGTGGGAGTGGCAGGGACACAGCGAGGAGCACCCAGGGAGTGGGCCGATGGCCTCTGCTGCCGACACCATATATGGCTCAGTGGCATCAGAGACACAAATCCAGCTTGGTGGTGGAAGCTGGTCAGTGACGCGGGTACTGGTCCTCGCCGGTCAGTTCTGCCCCGACAACTCCAGGATCATCCAAGAGAGGCAGAGAGTCCCTCTCCAATCCACTCCTGCCCTCTGGCTCTTTATCTTTACAAACCGCCCAGTCACCTGTGAGTCCCCTGACGCCGAGCACCAGGACTCTCCCTCTCCCATCACCGCCCTGCTCCGCCTGCCCACCCCCGGCGAGTCTTGTCAGTTTTCTCTCCTCTCCTCCGGTACCACCTCCATTTTGGCCTTTACCACCTCCGCCACCTCTCACTCCTCCCTGACGGCTCCCCCCGCACCGCCGTCAAGCGGGCTCTGTCTGCAGCACCAGTCTGGACATGCCGCTCTCCTGCTCGGAACCCTCTCAGGGCTCCTGCTTCTCTCCGAATAAAACCCATTCTTCTCAGTCTTCGGTCTGGCAAATAAGACCCATTGTCCAGGGTCTAGCCCTCCAGGCCCTTCTCCTACCCCTGTATACTCGTATTCAATGCTCCTGCATTCCAAATGGTGTGTAGATAAAACCTCTGCGCCCCTCCCCCCCCCTCTCACAGCTGTTCTCTCTCTCATGCCTTTCTTTCTTTCTTTCTCTCCTCTGCCTGGAATGTTCTTCCCACTTGTTTGCCCCCCAGTCAACTCTTACTCATCCCGCAAAGCCCCAGTCAGCACCACCACTTCCAGGAAGCCCTCCCTGAGCACCCTGGCTAACAGAGTGTCCGTCTTCTGTCTTCTTGCCTATCTCTAGCTTTGCACTTACCATCTGTGGGTGCTCCTTTAGGAGAGAGTCCAGGCTTTGGACAGCTCTGTGTTCCCAGTACCCAACCCAGAAGGAGGCTTAGGGCAGGCGCTTGTAAAGACCCAGGGACAAGCTGTCCCAGGGCACTGAGATAATGAGGTAGCCCTCACCTCACTTCAGCCTCCTTCCAGGGAAGCAGAAAGCTGGTTCCTTGGGCCCCTAGGTTATCCGGCTGTGACGGCTACCAGAGCCTCTGCCCCCACCTCCCGGCCCTCTCATGCCCCCCAGCAAGGCCTAGATCTCAAGAGCTGCTCAGGTGGCCACTGCCCTTCCAGGGCTGAGCGCTTTGACACCCCACCTTCTACCTTCTCCAGTGGGAAAGGGCAGCTCAGAGGGACAAGTCTCAGGCCTTGAGTTTGACCCTGAAGCTGCCAGTGTCAGTAGACTTCTGTTTCTGGTTAGAGCACAGCTTCCTGGTGCCTGGCTCACCTCTTCCAACCTGTGGGGTTATTACATTGGGCTCTCCCTTCCCAGAACATGGGTCTTATTTCTCAAAAACGGAACCCATTAATCCTCCTGACTCCAAAGGAACAATCTCCTCTATTATGCTGAGCCTGGAAGAAGCACAACTTCAGGGTGGGAGGATACCTTCCCCCCTTCTTCTGGGATGTTTTGTATTGCTCATATGTTATATGCCTTTTTTTTTCCCTTTTTTGTGTAAGCATCACTTCCCTGTGAAACCCAAATGCAGCAAGGAGTGCCTGCCCTCTGGTGGACGGATTGCATACTACAGGATCTCAACGTTACCAACGGACCTTCCGTTTTAAGGACAGTGCTGGAGGCTGTTGGAGATCCCTTATCCAGGCAGTCCTGGACGTGAGTGTATCTGAAGCAGAGTTGGAGGACATTCAGAATGACAGTGTAGACAGAGAATCCAAGAGCATTAAATGCATCTGAGGTTTCATCCTGCCTCTGGCCCTCAAGTCCTTTCACCCTCGCTCATCCCTGCTTATCGGTACGTCCTGAGAATGCACAGGCCTGGATTTCAGCTACTGTGGACTCTTGGACGCCGTTATCTGTGGCGTCCCCAGTCATGACCCTGTCCCTCATCCTCCCAGCCCAGCCCAGCCCCTGGCCTCACCCTGAGGGAGATGAGTCGCAGCCGGTAATCCTCAGTATGAATGACTTTCTGCACGATGATCTCCACACCGTCGTACATCACCTGCTTCTCCGGCCAGTACTCAGTGCATTTCTGCAGGGGCCCAGAGCAGGCTGCATACACTCCCAGTGCCCCCCCACCCCCAGTCTCCCTAGTGCCCCACCAGGGCCAGTGGGGCAAAATATAAAAGGGGAACAGGTTTGCAGTCAGAGAGCGTTGGGTTCAAATGCCCCTTTTGAGCCTCAGGTCCCTCATCTGGAAAATGGAATACCTACTTCAAAGGACTCTTCTGGGGATTCGATTAACTGGGCTGGCCTGGCACGGGCACAGGAGCCGCCAGAGCGAGCCCTGGCAGGGGAGCGGGGGGCAGAGCGCATGTTTCCGCAGGTCGGCCCATCTCCTTGGCCCTGAGCAGATGACCTAACTCTGCTCGGCCTCCCATTTCCCCTCCTTGGCCACAGGCTCCCAACCTCCCAAGACTGTTGTCAGGACTAATATGGAAACAGATGCTCAGCAAAGGGCACAAAGCGGCAGACACCTGGGAACAGCACAGGGGTGCCTACCTCGTTCATCTCCTCGATGTTGGTGATCATGACGATGATGGGCGTGTGCTCTTGCCACACCATGCGCCAGAAGTCACCGACTGTGCTGACGATGGGTCCCTGAGTGGCGATGTACACCTTCTCCTCCCCACCATAGCCCTGCGGCCAGCCAAGCCCAGGCTGTCAGGGTCGGACACCGTGTTCCCTGGGCCCAGTCCCCACACTCAGGCCCTTCCCGGGGGTGCTGGCAGGAGCCACGCTGGCTTAGGGACAAGCCGGGAGGACGGATCCTGTGGGCTCGGGCCTCCCTTTCAGAGAGAGGTCACTTGGATGGGGCTACGTACCCGGATGTAGTTGGCGTTGATGTAGGAACTCAGAGGGTCGTCAGGGTCTGGTGAGGTCAGACACACTCTGCTGTGGGGGTCTGGGGTGGGGGGAGACAGGTGAGGCCGGTATTTGACAGGTGCAACAACCCCTCTAGGGCAGGGCTCATCTTCTCTGGCCCACTGCAGGGCACCCGCATTTCTTCTGGGATTCTTGAAGTTCCCCCTTCTCCTGCCCACTAGCAAAACACTGGCCCATCTCCGTGGCCCTGGCTCTCCACCTCCGTAGCATCAGTGTCTGCCCCCTGCCTGTGTCCCTTAAGCTTCCCCGGGCTCCCTGTGCCTCCTGTTCTGGAGAGGACAGAGCTAAGTCAAGAAAAGAACGACCTAGGGCACGCATCCCGGGCAGCAGGGGCAGCAAGTGTTTGGATGCACATGGTCACTGGTACGCTGGGCCCACGTGAAAAACACGTGGCCCTCCTAAGCCTCAATTTTCCTATCTGTAATCCGGGGGTAAAGCTGCCTACTTCCTAGGGTTGTTGGGAAGATAAATAAGAAAACAGCCGGGAAGGTGTGATGTAAACCGTAAAGTACTTTATAAATACAAAGGGCTATTGGGATTTGGGGGTAGAAAGCCGAGGGAGAGCAGAGCACAGGGATGGGGGGCATGGAGCCTTCCACGCCTGCGATCCGACGGCAGGGCCGCGGCAGCAGAGGCAGTGGACAAATGGCTTTTTATCTTTTTTTCCAATCTATTCCCATGTCCAGTCCCACAGCTACAGAGTCTCACAGCCTCCTGCTCCTCTCCCTGGAGTAGAATCTGTTTTGTTCCAGCTAGAACCTCCCTGAATGGACGCTTCTCTCGGGGCAGGGGCTGGGACGGAGACGGGGGAGGCTGCGCAGCGTGGGCAGGGCGGTGGCTGGGGGCCCGGGGCCCTGGCTCCTGCTCTGGCTCTGTCACCAGCTCCCTGTCCCATCCCTTTCTCTCCTGAATAGGGAGGTTCGAACGGAAGATGCTTCCAGCACCCAGGCTGGGGCTCTCCATAGGTTCGAGTCCTGATGCCGTGATTTGCTGTGACTTGCTGGCAGTGTCAGCTTAGTTTCCCCGTGCCGCGTCTATGAGCTGGGGACACCCCTTCCATCTTAGCCCTGCTCGTCTTGTAAAGGTGAAAGGAGCGAGTGGAACTCGAGACCAGTAACTGAGCCCAGCACGCACCACGTAGCACCACGTAGCACAGAGCTGTTACGACTGCCATTGTTACCAGCTTCCCTAGAAAGTTCCCAGAGAGGATCCCAAACCAGGGAGGAAAAGCAGGTGACACTCACAAGCCTCTGCTCTCCAGCCCTTTCATGCCCAGCGCCAAGGCCTGAGGTCCTGGCAGCTGGTCTGGGGGCCAGGCAGCAGAGAAGGGCGGGGAAGGGCAGGGGATGCTGGGTGGCCGGCAGAAGAAAGGAGCAGGGAGTGCTGAGGGGCCGGCTCGCTTCTTGTCAGTGCCTGCCCAGATCAGGGGCCAGAAGTGGGCACAGCACCCTCGGGCCAGACGCCAGGGCCTTTGGCATTAAAGAACCACTGTGGGCACAGTGACCCTCCTGAGTACTGCCTCTGTGCCTGGTGCTGTGCCTGAGGGTAGGGACTCCCCAACAAACAAGACAGGGTCCCTGCCCCCAAGTACTGCAGGCAGGCAAGCAGCGGGTGGTCTGACAGCAACCGGGCTGGGTGTGAAGGCCCAGTAGGAACAGGAGTAGGGAACACCATTCTGTCCGATTCCAGGGCACAGGGCAGGGTGGGGGATAGAGCCATGAGCTGGAGAGGAACCAACTGTCAGAGGGTCTTAGAAACCATGCTTATCAAAACCTGAGGATTTCTAAGGGTGACAATGACAGTGTTTAAGGAGGAGAAGGACACAAATGGATTTCTGTTTTGCACCATTTCTGTGATAATGGTAGATGAAGGATAGGAGGGGAGAGTACAGGACTCAGGAGACCCGTCAGGAGACTACCGCCCGGCACAACTCCAATGCAGTCTCTGCCAATGTGCCCCTGGGACTGGGCAATATAGATGCCCCGACCCCCCAAAAGTCATATGGCAGTGAGGATGGAGAGGGAGAGCTGATCTGAGAGACCTTCCTTCCTTCCTTCCTTCCTTCCCTCCTTCCCTCCCTCCCTCCCTCCCTCCCTCCCTCCCTCCCTCCCTCATTCAAGTAGGAGCAGAATGTCTACTATGTGCCAGGCCCTATTTTGGTACTTGGGGCACAGTGGCAAATGGACAGAAATTGCTCCCCCATATCTTGTCTTCAGTGCTGTCAGCTGGTTACTGGTCACTCTGTCCTATTAACTGCCCATGGATCTGATTCTTCCATTAGACTGTGAACTCCCTGTGTCTCATTCATGCCTCAATCCCCAGTCCCTGGGGCAGGGTTCAGCAGATGTGTGCCAAATGAATGAGAGAACAAGCTTCAGGGTGTCCTGGATCTGGCAGGCCTCTGTCACGTCTGACACGCCCTCTGTCCCACACACCCCGGCACTGGTCCCAGTCTCTGAGGCACAGGGTCAATTCTTGCCGGCCACGGAGGATGCTCTGTGGGGCTCCAGGGCCTGGAGGCTCAGAGCATGGTTGAAGTGGCTCAAGGCCTCTCAGCAATCCAGTGGGGACCAGGAGGAGGGTGGCCTGGCTCCCACCCTCCCCCAGGGACCATTCTGAGTGAGCAGCAAAACCCTGGGTTCTGGGGGACCTGAGCTGCTCCTGCCACAGGGGGCTGGTTGGTTGGAGGGTGACAAGATGAGGAGAGAGGTGAGCAGCCCTGAATAATGCATCCTGGCCTTAAATGGTGCTTTGTTTAACCGGAACTACCTAGAGATGGTGTAACCATAGCAACCACAAGTCGATATTTTAAAAGTTAAAAATAAGTCATGACATCTTACATGTTGTTGGAGATGCTGATGGCAAAACTGCTTTTTTTAAAGCCTCGTTACTCCACAAACTGAGTGGAGTAGGTTGGTGGGGATTCACTTTCAACAAGTCACCCCCTAAGCCAGCCCTGGGGCCTGGGGCCAGAACTTGGCAGGGGTGACAGGCAGACAGGGGCTTGATGAAAGTTATCCGAAAACGACACCCCAGGGCTGAAAGAGGAACATTAGGGCACCTGGTCTAACTGCCCTCGAAGGGGGAAAATCCCTCTCAGATCTGCCAGGGGATTGATCATGTGGCTTCACTTGAACACCTCGAGTGACAGGGAGCTCACCATCTGACGGGCAGCTCATTTCCTTGTGGGGGTGGTTCTTCCTGTTAGAGGACTCAGTCTGACCAAACTCGACTCAAGGTAGACAAAAGAGCCCGATTCCGGGGTCAAAGAGGCCCAGATTGAAACTCAGTTCTGTGCTTCCTAGCTGTGTGATTGTGGATAAGCCACTTAACCTCTCTGAGCCTTATTTTCCCCTCTTTAAAATCTTCCCCTCTTTAAAATAGTGATTTTATCTCTATCTCCGAAGAGATAAAGAGGCCTTTAAACTCCTGTCTAGGAGCTGCTGTGATCCTCATTCTTTCTCTCTGAGTTTCCAGAGCCAAGCATAGCCACGACAAGGGTGAAGGAATGAACTCACTCCTGCCCTCACAAGGGGTGGGGGTGGGGGTCCTTTCCCTTCACTGGGTACCCACAACCCTCTTTCTCTTCTCCTCATGACCCTGGAGGCCTAGCTCTGGGGTTGAGGTCTTCCTCAGGGCAAGGGGCACCGAGGCGAGGGTGAGCCTGTCCCCACCCCCTGGGGCAGTGAGTACTCACTGGGAAGGATGGTTTTGTACCGGTTCTTCCGTACCAGCCCAGGGATGTCATACTCCTTTGGATCCACAAAGTTCATGGGGATTTCCTGCAAGAGGAGGACATGGGGGTGTTAGCAGCTGTGGGCCGCCTCTCACAGAAGTCTGACTCCGGCACTGGTGGGCGTCTAGTCCAGTCCATGTTTGCTGGGGTGCATACGTTGCTTCAGTGAACACTTACTAGTAAACGAGTCCGTGCACACAAAAAACACTTAGGACAGGGTCTGGCACATAGTGAGTGTATAATAACTGTTACTATTACGATTGTTGATCCGGGGCCAGCCCGGCACATAGTAGATGCTCAATAAATGATTGATGAACAAGGAACAAGAGAAAAAGTGACCCGGCCAATCACTGCCTTCTACCACACTCCCGGCACCACAGCCAACCCGAGTGGCTTTGCTGATCCGAGTTCCTGCCCTGGGCATTCCCACCTCCGGGAGCTCAGCTTGTGCTGCTCCCTTTGTGGGAACATCCACCCCGTCCTTCCTGCTCCTCTCTCCTCTCCACCTTAAATGCCACCTCCTCCAAGAAGCCTTCCCCAATGCTCCAGCAGGAAAGAAGCCTCCTTCTGAGTCCCCAGGGATGTGTTTGTGCCTCCCAATTACGCTCTGTGTTAAAAGCCGCAGGTCCAAAGTCCTCTGCCTGGCATGCGAGGTGGCCTGGGATCTGGTCTTTGTTTTCCCCAGGGCTGTTCTCGGGGACCCGCTCTCCAATTACATGCCAGTCTCTTCCCTGCTGTGAATGTGCCCCTCGCCCTCCTGCCTCCAGGTCTGAGCTCCCAGCATTCCTTCTGACTTTCTGTGGGTCGGGAGCCCTGGTCCCACCCTTCTCCATGGGTCCAAACGGTTCCCAGCCTTTCAGATCCCCTCTTGCTCCCTCCCCACGGTTCTTGGGGTGACGCCCCAGGGGCTCTGGCTTCTTCGCTCCCCCTTCCACCTGCCCACACCTCTCAGTGCCTGACCACAGACAGGTTCACGGTGTCCACGGTTTTAGGACATAGTAAGTATGGGCTTCAAGGATCACTACACTCAATTCCTAGGGTTATTATGGGAATCCAAAAAAAACCCCCCAAAACCGAGATGTACAAAAGTGCCCATGGGGTGAGGGTACAGGCTGTGTTCCTCTGTCTCTGGACAAAATCAACAACGATCTACTGAACAGGAAACACCAAACAGGATGCAAGCCCTTTCTCCAAGGGGAGGTGAGGGTAATGGGAGCACACAGCAAAGCTGAGGCTGGGGTGGTTGAGGAAGGCTTTCTGGAAGCATCCATTGGGGGGATGATGTGAGTAGAGGCATGGGGAGAGGAAGGCCTGGGGTGGTGTCCAGTTTGAAGCGGACAGTTCCTGTAGGGGTGGGAGGCTGGCCCAACTCGGGTTAAGACCGGCCATGCCCAGCCCTGGAGAATATGGAGCAGTGGGTTGGAGGGTGGCAGAGGTTTTCTCAGAAGAAATAGCCATCAGGTCCAAGTAGGAGGCAAGGTGGTCTGGGCAAGGGAAGTTGAGGGAGGCACATGGCTGCCCCATCCCCCCGGCTCCTCCCAGGGGGGAACTCTCCCCAAATACTCATGGTCTCTTGCCCATTCCTGCCCACACTGGGGGGCGAGTTACCAAATGGGTGAGTTTGAGTGAGGAACGCACTTTTGGGCCCAAGCCCCTTCCTTCCTCCTCCTTTGGGGACCCTCCTGCAGAGAAAGAAATATAGGGGTGCACCACCTGGGGTGGGTAGAAAACTTAACTCCTAGTATCAGGAAGCTCACTATTGCTACGCACCTAAGCCTCATTTTAAGCTTAGCTTTCATCATCAAAAATAAAGGTGATATCGTCATCTCCTACGTCTTAGCTAACGACTGGTTGAGTGCTCAGGCGGGAAAAGCAGAGAGGTCACTTATTGGGTCCCTCAGAGTCCAACAGGAGGCAGCTGGAGGCTCCTGCAGGGATCTGGAGCGGGGAGGTGACTGGAGAGCTGTCAGAAGATGAACAACGCCTTGAGATGTGGGGCAGGAGGAGGGATGGAAAGCAGGAGAGTCAGAAGGAAGGCTTTCCATCACTTTCAAAGCATAGTACTGGGCAGTAAGGACTTGGGGATGCCAGCCGACACCAGTCACTGCAATGAGTGCTCTGCCCACGTTAGCCATCTCCTTAATCCTTGCAACATTCCAATGATTTTTATCCCCATTTTCCAGATGAGGAAACTGAGGCTCAGAAGGGAAGCAGCTTGCCCAAGACGGCGGGAGAGCTGATAAGGAAATGACAGTAGTCTATGAGGTGCCGGGTTCTGGGCACCCCGCACCACTGCCTGGCTAGGTGCGTGACAGAGGTGAGCGGAAGGGTCTGCCTGCTGTGGGTGGCTGGCTCAGGGGGACTCACAAAGAATTCTGCCTGCAGCAGGAAGGGGTCCAGGGCCTTCTCGTGAAGCTCCTCGGCCTGCAGGACCCGGGAGGCGCTGAGCAGATACTCACGGGCCGACTCCTCACGTGGGGACATGAGGTAGCCAAAGCCCTCCTCACTGCAGCCTGGCGTGCACATGTCCAGGGTCAGGGAGACGTTGGAGCCCCTCCTGGAAGGACCGGGAAAGGGGGAGCGCATCTCAGAGGTGGGAAGATGAGGCGGGAGAGATCCAGGGTGGGAGCAGGGTGGCAGCCAGGGGAGGAGTGCGAGGGGGGACAGCACTCCTGCGTGAGGAGCACGAGGCTCAGCCCCGAGGCTGAGGCCTGACTCCCTGCCTCCTGCCTCCTGCCGTGGAGTCGCTAACTGAGGGAGGCTTGGGGCCCCAGTTCCAGGGGTTCCATCCAAGGCAATCTCAACACAGCCCTCCCTGGACTCTCCTCTGCCACTGCTGGAGGCAGTTCCCAGCCCTGTGGCCCCAGGAAGTCATGAGACAGGGCACCTGCCTAGAGCAGAGAAGCAGGGCTCTACCCTGTGCATCACGGCCTTGGCCCCATGAGTCCTGGGTGAGGCTGCCAAGGAGTCATGGACATCTCACCCAGGAGAGGCCAGGTCCCTCGGCTATCAGGGGAAGGGGGAGTCCCGGGCAGCACACCAATTGCAAAGATGTCTGCACTAGACAAGCTCTACCATATTCAGTGCCTAAGGCACAGGACAGTTGAAAAGCCCTCATTATATAGGAAGGGAAACTGAGTCCCAGAGAGAGGACAAGAATTGCCCAAGCTCACACAGTAAGACGATGGCAGAGCTGGGACGAAAAGCTAGGTTTTCTGACTCCTCATTTAGTGCTTCTTCCACATCACGTAGGTAATGCCTGGTGTGATCTGGCTTACCCAACGGGGCTCTGAAAAGAAGGTGCTGACACCTCTCAAAGAATGCTCTCGGGAACACTATGGGACACTCTATAAAAGTAGGGTTCTGGGGTCAAGAGACTTCGAGGAATGCCACATGCCACCCCCTTGCTGATTTACAATGAACACAAGCATGTTAAAGGCCCTGACAAGTCCTGTAGTAAAGGAACCTACCCAAACTAACTTGAGTATAGGAGTTTTCGTGTGAGTGTGCACACATGTATACCTGTGTATGCCTGTGGGGTCGTGTGCAGTAACGGTATTTACCTTGGGGCATTCTGATCTATGTGAATCAGACCTGAGGAGCATATGTCTACACTGGCTAAACCACAAGGCTGGCTCTGTCCTGGCCACTGGAGTCAGAGTCAGGCACCTGCCCTTCTGGCGTTGAGCTGAGAGCTCAAGAGCCCACACAGCCCACCCCTTCTCCACCCTTCCCACCTTTCCTGTAGACCCATGGACTTGACAGTCAGTGAGGCAGGGTCAGCCTCAGGCTTGATGTCCATCACGCAGTCAAACACAGGAGTCTCAGGGACAGGGTCCAGGTCCAGGAAGTCATCCTCGACCTTCTCTTCCATCCACTCTGAGTAGGTGAAGGAGGGCTGGCGGCTCACTGACTGGCGCCTATCCTCAGGGGGCACTGCGGTGTGTGGCTCTGGAGGAGCCCTCAGGAGGTGCCACGCCTAGTTGGGAAGATACAGTATCATGGACCTGGGACCATGTTGGCTAGCCCCTGAGTGATGGGGTATCCATGAGATTGAGCCCCCTACCCTCAATGAGCCTAAAACAGCCCTGCCCTCCTGGGAGCGGTCTGCATGGCACTACCCTTCACCTAGACGGGAGGTTCCAGCCCCCACCTTACCCCCCAGCCCCCTCCCCTGTCAACCCTCCGTTTCTTGTGGGCTGAGGGTCTTCTTGGTGGGGTGTGGGGCTCCTACCCTAGTCTTCTCGGGCCTTAGTCCTTCCCTCAGCCTAGAACACTGCAAACCCATTTTCAAGAAGAAGGTGCCCCTCATCCCGGGCTGGGCACACTGGTGGAAGGAGACAGACACCCTGTCCTTGCCCCTACCTGAAACATCTAGCTTGGAGATAAAATGGGAGCTGGTGGGGCCTGGGCCTCAGGGTCAGAGTTGGGGAGCACTGCGGTCAGGTCAGGAGGCACCTTACCAGGGTGGTAATGAGGATCACAGACAGAGTAACCAGCAGCAGACTGGGGACTTCCCAGGTCCCAACACCCAGCCAGGCCTGGGGAACATGAGACAAACAAGTCAGCGGGGGGGCGGGTGGAGACACAGTTCTTATCCATTCCTACGGTGACAAAACTGAGGCTCTGAAAGCCGCCAAGCAGGAGTGGGTGGGGAGCAGGGAGAAGGGTTTCAAGGGTGTGGAAGTATCTTCTGAACTCAGAGAAGCCCCATCCAGGGGTTGGTGACACTGGAGGCCCCCAGTCGCTCCCTCCTCCCTGGAGCTTACTCACCATGGGTCCCAGCTGTTCCAGAAGTGTGAGCAAGGAGGAGATGAGGTCTGTGGCATTCTGTGACCAGACGGGCCCATAACCGCTGAGCCAGAGCACCCCGCAGGCAAGCTGGGGCAGCCGGGGGAGCGGACTGAGTTTGGAGCCTGGGCTCCTTGCTCCCGTTCCCCCTGCAGAGCTCACCTGCAGCCTCAACCTAGCCCCCCAAGGTCCAGACTGCACAGCTGAGGGAAGAGCCCAGGCACTGTGTGCACGAAGGCCTCAGGACCCTCCCTGCAGAAAAGCTGACTGGAGGGATCCAAGACGAAGCCCTTCCCAGGGGGGACCTCCCCGACCCCGCCAGGTACATACATAAAAGGAAAAGTTTCCCCCGAGATAGCTCCATAGATGCGAAGTCCTCAGAGAGGCCCCTGCAGGCCTGGCTGCTGGGGAGGCCTAAGTTCCTGCTTCTTGCGTTAGGGAAGGCCAGGCTGTGAGGGTCTTAGCTCTGTAGCTGAGAACCCCAGCCTCCTCTGCACACCGGCCCGAGAGCTTCGAGGCACCGAGGGGCACCAAGAAGGCCCCTCATCCCCCACGATCCCCGGGTGGCCACCTTGGGGAGGGCATGGTGGGCTGTCCCTCCACCTGCCCTCTCTGCAGACCCTTGTGAGGCCTGAGATCGCCTTACCAGGAACTGGGAGGCAGCCAACAGGCACAGGCTGCTCCTGACAGTGAGGGAGTGGCTCCCGGCGCCGGGAGGTGGCGGCTTCTGAGCAGGCTCTGAGGGCGGTGGAGGTGGTGGGGGCGGTGGCATCTCTCTCGGCGCGTCCACGAGCCCTTCGGCCTGGTCCAGCGCCTCCATCACTACCGGCTGGGGGGGACCTGTGGAAGGCGGACACACGCCTGGTGACTTGGGCCCCGGCGAGCCGCGACGGGCCGCTCCTTCTGGGGTAGCTGTGGCTTCTCAGTCTGGGATCAGTCAGCGTGGCTCCACTTCCAGCCGTCACCCTCGATTAGCAAAGCAATATTCACCTACCTTCGTCAGAAAGAGCTAAGTGTGGGTGGACAAATTATTTCTCTTTTATTTCTCCAGTAACAGAGTTAAAATGGCAGGAGGTTTTTCAGGGAGTTAACATCGCTGTGTTTACACAGTTTCATTCTTTTCCATTTCTTAAGGAAACAAAAAACAACCACCTCAAACTCAATTAAGGGGGGGGGAGACACGGCCTAACCAGGCCGTGACCCCGAACAGCCCTCCCACGCCTGCCTTCCAGATTTTTGTCTCTTGTAGTCTGTGCCTTCACTGGGGCCAGAGGGTGGACCCTGGACAAGATCCCAGCCATGTGCCCCTTCCCCGCCTCAAGGCGCCACACTGTGGGGGCAGTGAGGGTGGTGTGGAGGGAAATCTTGGTGTAGTAGAATTGGTATCTAATGTCTCGATCTAGTTCTGGGTCTGTCCCTAGTTGTGTGACCATGGGAGAGTCACCCCCTCTCTGGGCTTCAGTTTCCACACCTGGGAAACAGAAGTTCAGCTCGACCCTTGGTTTCCATACTGCTTCCTGGAGCCCTGGTACTTTCTCAGGCGCATGGGGTGTTACCAAGAGCTCTGAGTCCTAGGTGTGAAACCTCTGCTTGTCCCCGTTCCATACCCTGAGTTCCTTCTCAGATTATGTCAACACAGGGTTCCACGAGTAAAAATGTGTGAACACCACTGGCTTAGATCTGAGGCCCTGGCCGTAGGGATTCTATCGGCATCCACTTTGGTGAGTGCCCGGTGTTGGACGTCCCCCATCAGAACCCGTATGATTGACCCTACTGCCAAGAAGAGAGGAGCTAGCAAAATGGATGTGTTAACAGCTTGACAGTGGGATGGGGCTGTCCCCACAGCACTGTGTAAATGGGACAATGGACTCCTCTCCTAGTTGGGTGACAACAGAACACCCAGAGCCAAGACCATGTGAGGCCAACAGTGTTTTGTCCACGAGCTTGCTTGCCCACTGGACAAACATTTACTGAGCATCTTCCATGGCCTGGATCACCAGTGCGGTGCAATGGGCCCAGGTCCTGGTGACAGCTCTATGTGTATCCCAGGTTCTTCCTCCTAGATGCTGACCTGGTATGGCTCCCCACGTAATGTGATCCAGCCGTACTCCTCGCAGTTCCTCAGGTAAGCTCACCTACTTGCTCTGCACGCTCCTCCCCCCCGCCGTGCTTTGCACCTGCTATTCCCTCTGCCTGGAACCCTCCAACCTCCTGCTCCCCTCCCCCCCCCCCCCCCCCCCCGCCAAGTTAACTCCTCTTCACCTTATAGAACTCACATCAGATGTCACCTGAAGTCAGTCCTCCCGTCACATTTGCCTAGCACCACCTGCTTCTCCATACCAACAGCAGCAACAATACATCTGGAATGTGGGAGGCCCTGCTCTGAGCGCTTTATACATGTGAATGTCTTCCCTCTGCACAATACTCCTATGAAGTCAGTATGACAATTATCGTCATGTTATAGAAGAGGAAGATGAGGTACAGGGAGGGTACAAGATTCTCCCCTGGTCGGTTAGCTAAGAAGTCATCGAGGTGGGTTCAAACCGAGGCAGACAGATGGGCTCTGGCTGTGGTTTGTGAAATTATTTCTTGAATATCACCTCTCTCACTTGTTTGTAATTTCCATGAAGGCAGGAGTGGAGTCCACTTTGTTCATCATGACTGTCCACAGCATCTAGCAAAGTCCTGACATGTAAGTCTGTGATAAATATTTACACCAAATGAGTGCATGATGGTAGGCCAGTATTAACCAGTCACTCAGTTTTCTTACCAGATAACTGGGGATGATCATACATTCCTTGAAAAGCTGTGATGAAGACTGTAAATACTATAAATGAAACACTCAACATGGCACCTGGCATCTAGTAGGTGCTCAATAAATGTCAATAATGTTAGCACATAATTCCTGCCTCCGGAAGGCTCCCAGCCTCATAGGGAAGACAGACCAGTGGATACATGCCCATAATCCACTGCATTCAGTGGAAAATCCAAGTGCTGGGGGAGTCACTTTTTCTTTCTTTCTTTTCTTTTTTTTTTTGACAGAGAGAGACACAGCGAGAGACGGAACACAAGCATGGGGAGTGAGAGAGGGAGAAGCAGGCTTCCCGCCTGGAAGGTAGCCCGATGTGGGGCTCGATCCCAGGACCCTGGGACCATGACCTGAGCTGAAGGCCAGACACTTAATGACTGAGCCACCCAGGCACCGCGGGGAGTCACTTTTTAAGGTTACCCACTTTTGCCTATGTAGGGCCCTATTACCTACATGAGCACACAGCTCAGATCCTGGCCAGCAAGGTGAAAAAGAAAAAGATGCTGCCAAGGATGGATCCTGCAGGAAGCCAGAAGTTTCCATGATTGAGACACAGAGGCTTGATTGCTCAAGTGGCAAGGTCTCCACCCACGCCCTCAGAAAATGCAGTCAAAGGGTGATGCCAAATTTGGAAGGGTGGGAGGGGTCCAGGGCCCAGAGGTCACCTGGCTTGGCCCTGCAATGCACACACTGTGGGCCTTGGGCAATCCCCCCTTCTCCCTGGGTCTCAGTTTCCTTCTCTGTAAAAAGAGGGGCTTGAACTAGAACTTGGTGCTTCTCAGATGTTTCTGCCATCCTCACAGAAGAGGGGACGTGGGTCTTGAGGAGAATAACAGCAAGCTCACATGATTTTGGATCTTGCTGCTTTTTTTTTTTTAATTCATGGGTGCTCTCGGTTCTATGCTATGGGTATCTGTACTTGTTTTGATATTAAAATAATGGGCTTTTTCCCCTCCCAAAGCTTCAAGTCAAATTTCTCCTTCAGGAAAATGAGCTACAATTTATCCTGTGACTTTGCCCTCAGGGGTACACACACCCCAGTCTGAGGAGCGTGGAACCTGCCTGCAATAAAACATCATGCTGCTATTATAAAAGACTCAGTAAATGAATATTTAACATCATGGAGGGAAATTTCGATGGTATAGAGAAAGGCAAGGTGACAAAAGAGTATAATCTCCTTGGCCTTAAAAATTAGGAAAGTATAAACGTGCGTATAAAAAGGTGGTAAATGCCCATCGTAAGATGAGAAGTTAATGTGAGATACTGCTTGTGAAGCATGCGGCATGGCTAACTCCTGGCATACAGTAAGTGCTCAATAAATGCTGGACATGGTAAATGGGAAGAACAGAAGCCAGATGTTAACAGTTCTTTGGAGGAGGGGGAGATGAGAGGTGATTTTTTTTTTCATTGTTCACTGCTGTGTCCCCAGAGCCTGGCCCAGGGCTCGGCAAAGTATACAGTTGGTGCTCAATCAGTGTGTGTTGGACTCGTGCCTGAATGAACAGAGACGAAAAGAGAGTCTGTTCCCAAGCCTGTTCTCCAGCTCCCCTACTTCCACTGCTTTCTATCACACACCTCTGCTCCCCACCCCCGAGATCACAGGTGCTTAACCTGACGTCTGTGGATCCCCTCCGAAATGACATGCAGCATATACTGTGTTTTTGAAAACATATCTTCCTGAATTAAATGTCTGCGTTCTGCTCAGAACAATTTCTCAGTAAACCCTGCTCTGAAAGGTAAGCATCTCCCAGGCGCTCAGTGAATACCCACCAGTTGGATTCATCTGGCTCTCAGGACTGCCAGGTGCCCTGTGGTCTCTCTTTTCCTCTCTGTTCATTCAGGCACGAGTCCAACACACACTGATTGAGCACCAACCGTACACTTTGCCGAGCTCTGGGCCAGGCTCTGGGGACACAACAGGGAACGAAACAGTCTCCACCTGCAGGCACCACCGTGATCCCGGCCCCATTTGTCATTTCGGCTTCTGGTCCAGCTCCTTGAGATGATGTCAGCTCCCATCCTTGCCCTGCCCACCCTGCCACGGGCTATCTTGTTGTGGGCATGGTCCCACCACCTCCCCGGGCAGGGTCTGCGCACTTGCCAAAGTGCTTCTGCACACGCAGTTGCGTTTGCTTCCCTCGGCAGCCCTGTGAGGTAGACATCAGCATCATCAGCCCCGTTTTGTCGTTTTGTGGGTGAGAGGCGGCTGCTTGTGTCAAAGGCTGGCTTTTCAATAGTTCACAGCGAGGAAGCTGCTTTGCCACGCATGAAACCCTGACTCAGAGGCAGCTTGCTGACAACGATGTAACGCCGGGCTCCTCCTGGGCTTGCGTCTTGCGCAGGGTGAAGGGGATTTTCCAGGCGCGCAAATGAGGCTTAGAGAGGCCGAATGGCTTGCCCAAGTAAGCGAAGACCTGGGATTCCAACCCAAGGCTTCCGGACACAAGAGTGATCTTTCCATTTTGCCATATTGCTTATCAGGAGGGCTCACTGCAGCAAAGGAGGGAGGTGGTGAGAGCCTGGGAAGGAGGGAGGGAGGAAGTCTCTGGGTCTGGGGGGAATCCTGAACACTACCCAGCTGCAGGGGGTGGGGGTGGGGGTGGTGCAGCATTTGTGCCTGACCCCCCCGACCCCCGGGGTTAGTGGCTCCTCAAAGGCTACACGGCGTGGCAAGAAGAAGCCCTGGAAGGCAGGCGCTCGGTATCCTGGGCCAAAGCTCTAGGGACCCTGGGTAAGGCCTGCAAGCAAATAGCCTTCAGATTTTACCTGGGGCATGTGGAAGCACTGTGATCCCTCTCCTATCACCTAGCGCCTGAATCCCACCATTAAACTCTGCAGCTACTGTGTGCCCTGGGGCTGGTGCCGCCGGAGCTCCGGAACCCTGGCGGCTCCTGTCCGTGACTCATCCTCGGAGTGCGCGGGCTGCCAGCCCACCGGAACTGGAGCAGAAGGCTGGCTCGGCCTGTTCCTGTTTACATGACGGAGGAGCTTCTGTCCCATTCAGCTTTTCCTCCTTTCCCAAACGTGGCCA